CACACACACACACACACACACACACACACACACACACACACACACACACACACACACACACACACACAAATCCCAGCCTGACCCCTTTATTTCTTTATTTGTTTTCAATTTTTGCATCTTAATTTTTTTAAAACACCCAATTTCCCGACACAAACCCGAAAAAGATTTCTCAAAAAATACAGGACAACTCAGCGGCCATGTCCCTCATGATAAAAAATGGCAAAAAAAGATTTCTGCTTTTCTTTTTCTTTTTGTTTAAATTGAATTTCGTTTTTCATTTTTTTTAAATCTTAAACGAAGTCTGATTCCAAAAAAAAAAAAATAGGATTGTAGGGTTTTCCAAGCCCTACAACCCTATATATATATATATATATATATATATTTGTTTTTACGTATCTTTAGGGGTATATATATATTTTTTAAAACAGGCCGCGGACCGCGCCTCATTGGCCGCGGCCGCGGCCGAGGCCTAGGCCGCAGGTGTCACGTAGCTGCCCGCTGCTCCATCTATTGGTGGGGGGCTACACCTGCTGGAAATCGGGTCCAACGTCCCATTAGTTTGTGCATACTGTACGGTGAGCATTGAGCATGCAAATATCACCAGCACCTCTTCACCCCTACCGTACGGCCTCACTTGCACGGATTAAGAGATTCTGACCGTTGATCTTTGCTATCGACAATCAATATTGCTTCATTCGTGTAAGTGGGACCTAGCTTCGGGATAACTCCGGGTTGAATTGTGAGGTCCCCGGCCTCATTTCTGCTTGGAATAAAGGGTCTTTTATAGAAAAATAAAATAAAAAACATTAGCCTTTCAAAAAAATAAAATAAAAAAGGGAAAATTTGTCTGGCGTCCCTGTATTTTCCATTAATTTGCGTCGCGCCCCTCCGACATCCGATTTACCCTGTCGCGCACCTCTGACCAGTGTGAAATTTTCCATAAAACCCTGGTGTCGTTTCAAGTTGGACCTCATATGTTTTCGTACTGCCCCTATCCGTACCGACATCAAATTTGCATCATGCCCCTAACGGATAGCCGTTGGGAAAATTTTCGATATGCCCGTACCGGTACCATCGATCTTTTCAGTGTGCCCCTGTCGCCGTTGGAACTTGGATGCACTGAGAGGAATTTCCACCTGGCCTGGGAGCAAGCTGTCGGGGCATAGCATAAATTTGTGTGTGTCCCCATGTTTGTACCACGCCCTTGCTTGTGTGCAACGACACCAGGACAGTCTGGCTGGGTAATTCCACGCGTCCTGCGGTCTCCCTGCGATGCACATTATCTTTGTGGTTAGGGTTCCTCTCTCCCTCTCTCTCTCTCTTTGTTCCCTTCTTAGCAGCGAGTGGCACGGGTGGA